AAACCTTTTAAATTAAGTAACAAAAATATGTAATGAACATGCAACATTAAACACTTTCAAGGGCAGCAAATATGATCACATCCTTCAGAAAATATTTCTAAAATGTGTGATTTCCAACCCACTAACTTACTTGAAAGTTGTGTAAAAGCTGCAGTTGATAACAAGGTCTTGTGTATCTGGATCTTTGGGTAAACACTGTCTGCCAGCATAGCTGGAGGAGACAGACATTTCCATTTTTAAGATAGTTCTGTAAAGAAAATCCTTCTGTGGGTGTCCACACTTGGCAGCTGATCTCAGGTCTGACACAGTGTGCACACACTGCCACAGTTCTCATCATCCCAGGAGGAGAAAAATCCTGCATGTGGCCCCGAGAAGCTTCAATCCTGCAAAGCACTTAAGCACAAAATTAGTTTTAAACTTAAGGGGCAATATGTAAGTTAGATACAGACTTTGCTAAAAGATGCAGGATGAAATGTATATATTCCAGAAGGAGGGATATAATGAGTGAAAATAAATGGTATGGGAAAGCATCTATAGATAGCTGGGGAGGTAATGAAGGAATGCTTCAATTTCAGTTCATGGAAAACTTAAATTTACTGTATTTTATTTCACACTAATCCTTCAGTCGTCTACCACAGTTTGTGTCTGGCCATGAAATTTTTAGCTATGTAGTGTTATTCTTTGGCACGTAAAGATTTACAGTGTCTGAGCCTGATTTGGCTCATCTTGGTGTTGATGACAGAAATTCCAATTTTGCTCTCAAAGGGCATGATTGAACCAGTTAACATTTATTTCAGCCTTGCAGAAGGACATATTGCTTATTTTATATATAAAGTATGCCAAAATAAGATTAAGAGCTTTGATGAACATTGCACGGTAAGTCAGAGGCACATAGCCACAGAACTAAGAATTCCTTCCTTCCTGACTCTCACTTCCTTGTTTTATACTGTGCTTTTGGTAATGTGTCTGCATTCCCAGAGCAATATTCTTCTGGCACATGATAATGCAATAGTTTTGAAATATGCTTTTCATGTGATGTGTGAAAACATAAAATCTATAGATGTGCAGTATACATGGATAAAAGAATTCATATTACAATATGTAGCTACAAGCATAATAAATGGAAATTGATGAAAAGGGAGTTTTCTACTGCTGGGATTTTAAAGAGTTAGACAAATGTGTGTAGTTCAAATAAGACAGAATTTCTGCTTCTTGTCACAGAAAGAGCGATGAACATGTATCAGAAGAGAAAATCAGCTGCTGTTTGGTAAGTACCGTATGATTTTTTTGTCTACTGCCTTTTGGGCCTTACCAAGTCCTGTACTTACTGTGCTGATCAGGCTGCTGGCTCCTTTTCTGTTATTACATCACTCAAAAAGGCGGTCTTTCTTAGAAAAACTAAAACTGTGCCAATGCAATACCATCTCTTCAGAAATACTTTTAATTCATTTATTCATTTACATCGCAAGCTGGAGCTAAATCAGTATATTGGAGACAATTCTTGGTCCAGTATTTCCATGTTGGAGGCAGAAGAGATTCCTAGAGCAGTGACACTGAATGCTGTTTTTCTCTTAGTTGTGTGGGCAGTCATTGGATAGTGCAGTATCAGGTGAAGCAAATCTTTTGGTCTCTATGCTAAGTGGTTTTAATTCTTATTTCTGTTATTGTTTTAAGAGTAGTAGCAGTAGTAATAGCAGAGGTAGGAGTATTATTGGCAGTCCCTGTGTCCAAAGAGCTCATTAAAGGACAGCACTCTGGAGATGATGCCCTATCTGCCTGGAATCAGCAGGACACAGGAACTCCATCCCATATGATGAATAACAAAAGAAAGGGTAGTTTACATTCTTTGATACATTTCTGCTCGATTAACCCCCAGTGGGATTTTACCCCTCCAGTCACATTTTTTTGTTCCTCTAATCTTCTTTTGTATTTGCTCACTGACCCCAAGCATGTATTTGACTTGTGACCCTATTTCTGTTAATAAAATACAGGCCATCTGACCAGCATTCACGCCACTCCACTACAAGGTGATGATTACCTCATTGTAAGTGCTGGGAGTTAGCAGCTCACAGGGTAAGCCTGGTGGTTGGGTGGCCTGAAGAGAAGAGAACCAATGAAGGCAGCAAAAGCAGCTCTGAGCTGCACCTTCAAAGCCAAACTGCAGATAATCAACTCCTTCAAAATATCCAATTCTATCCACAGAACTGCATATCTCCTTATGTATTGTTCAGCTATTAATTAGTTGATAATGTTTAGGGGATTATGGCATGACAAAAAACAATTATAGCTATAATGTGGAAATTTTCAGTATCCGTATGGGTGGTAGCTTATAAAATCAAAATTATCCCATTTCCGTTTTGGGTTATCAATTATAATTATATGCCTCATGAAAAAAAATACATCAGCACTCAGTGGCAATAATTTCAATGTAGTGTTTTGAGGCTAAATTAACACTGGAAAGTATAGGTGATCTCTTTCTAAGCAAAGTAATATTTTTTTTTAAAGTAGCAGCAGAAATGTAGGGTGGTTTTTTTTTAAGAAAAGGCATAGTAATGAACTTATTCATGCTTTCACCAAATCCTTAGAACATGAGTCTTATGAAAGGCACTGTTAATTGTGTGTTACATGAAAAAATCATGTCAAACAATTTATCAGATATGTAATCTGTGTCTCTGTTTTGTGACAGGAAGCCATTATTTCCACTGAAAAAACAAATCTGTTAAATTTGAACTATTAGATTACAGCAGGGTTAGGGCTGCTTCTGTGATGTAGAGTCACATCAGGGTCACAGCCCAGATCTAGAGATGTACTGCAAGGGCTTCATATCTGATTAAGACAAAAAACTGATAAAAATGTAATGCAGATTAACAATATGGAATTATCTGATGCAGTTTGGGGGGATAGGGGCAGGGGGTATAACATCATTCAGTTTATTTGCATATGTTTGTTCTTTCTGCTGAAATCAATCTCTTTGAAGGAAGCAAGAAAACTTTAGAAAAAGAAAATATTATTAATGCTGGTAAGAGAACACAGAAGAAAATCTTTAGTAAACATTTCTTTTCCAGTGTTGATTATCATTCTGTCTAATGTTTATTTTCATAGTTTTCTTTGATCCAAACACAAATAACAATAAAGTTAGCTTCATTTCTTTGAACTAACAAAACTATTCTGTGGCCAAATTTGGAAGACATTTTTAAGTGGCGTTTTTGCTTTTCTTCAAAGCCACATAGGAGATTTATAGCGTAGATATTTGCATAACTCACACCCTCTTCTGTAAGGGAATGTTTCCATGGCTAGCAGTGATTTACCTGCTCTGGGCCTGCCCCTGCCTCTCCTGGAAGGCTGAGGGCTCTGAGCACTGGGCACACTCTGGATGCCAGTGCAGGGAGCACCAGGGCTTTGGGTCAGCGCTCACCCCGTGCCCTGGGGAAGCTGCTGCAGCTTGTAGGGACTGCCTGTGGCTCTGTGGGGCTGGCTCGTGGCTGTAAGCCCAGAATGTGTCATTGCATCCTCCCTGCATCCCTATCCCAGCCTTTAACACAGCCAGCAGGCAGAGAGGTACCAGGGCCCTGCCCATGGGCACCTCTGCTCATGGGGAGCCCAGGGCGCAGGTTCTACCTTCACCAGCTGCTCCCATCAGACTCACACAGATACTTGTGTGCTGTAGACTTGGAAACAACCACATTCCTAATGTAAATATTGTGCAATTGCAAGCTATGTACTACAGTGTTTACCACAGTGCTTGAAACCAGGCCTGTGTTGCTGGGGTGTTCTAGTCTGTACATATTTTAAAACTCTGCCAAGTCACAGATCTGCTCTGGAGACCTGGCAGCACCTGCTGAGGCAATGGTGAAGAGTCTGTAGCTGTGACGGGAAGCATCCCTGTCCCCCTCAGATTACAGCCACCATGTATTCTGGCTGTTCTGTGCAGTCCTCATATGTGCAAATATTGGCGCTGAAAGTGGTGGAAATTATGAATAAAGACCACAAAGTCCAGCCTCAATCAGCTACAGAAGAGCCATATGCTGGATAAACTGACTGCTTTAATTTTCTCAGGACATGATACAGAAGCATGAGAGATACTCAGGTTCTCTAAAACTCACTTCTTTTTTGCTCTCCCATCACATCCCTGTGTTTGTCCCAATGCTCAGCCTGGCTGAACAAGGGCATCCAGTCCAATGATTGATTGCCTCTGTGAGCAGATCCAAGTTTCACTCTTATATCAGCCAGCATGTGGTTGATGACAGGGACAAAGCCAACTCTCATCATTCCCTAAGCAAATCATCTTCCTCTTTACTGAAAATTTGACCAAATTAAGATTGAAATAAGTGTCAGAATTTCCACCACGTTCACATGGATTTGGATTTGGTAATTGACTTCTAGGTGCAAATGGCTTCTTAAAGGGTTACTTTTAAATAGGTGGGTGTTTAAGTGCTTCAAGAGATGATAAAAATAATAGCAAATGCAAAAAATATGACTTCAGGTATTGCTAAAAAGTGTAATTAGAAAATGGGTGGTTTTAAGGTTAAATCAGACCTATTCCCAGTGACTGCAGGTGACTCACACTTGAGTAAGAATGAAAATTTGGGTTTTGAACTATATAGAATAATTTTGGCTGAACCTTTTAAATTTCTTTGGGAAGGAGGAAAGGTGAGGTGGGTGTGTTATTTGGGAGTTTTGGGTTTTTTAATACTTATAAAAATGCCAAATAGAAAACAGTTGCTAACTTTTCTAGTTTGTTCCAGTCAAAATAAAGTCCTTCTGGTCCTAGAGGAGGGAGTTCTGAAATGGTACCTAAAGGTTCTGCCTGAATGAGCAGAGCCCTTTCCTTTAAAATATCATATCCACTAAAAGCACAACCAAAAAACACTGCTTACTTAGTTTCCTTTTTTTTTTTTTCCTTGCTAACACTATGAAAACAGGAGTAAGAGAGGTGATGCTTCAGTTGTTGTGCAATTCACTCCATATTAATATAGTTAGGAATGTGGGACTGAAAGTACTTCACACATCCAGGCTGGCAGAGGTATCATAGGTACAAAGCCCAGAATGAGTCCTCAGCAGCATCCACTGAAGATGTCCCAAGGAACAAAGCTAGCGAGGTTCAGGACATCCATCTCTTGATGGAAAAGTGTGAATCAGCTCACTTCCAAAATTAATTAGCTTTACATTCTTACTCAGTTTGAAGTAAAAAATACACAGAAGTGCTGGCTGCTAGAAAAAGCTCTTGCCATTTCTTGCTGTGGAAGGAAACAGGACTTTGGCATGGAGAAGCAGAGTCCCCTGCACTCTTCCATCCCTGAGGCTGTGTGGCTGCTTGGGCAATTTGGAGCTAAGCACAAAATTGTGCTCAGTATTCTTCCTTCCTCCCTTTTTTGAAAAAAAAAAAAAAAGTTTCTACCCTGCATTTCTGCAAGGATGAACAGAAAGCCTTGCAGATGGGTGTAGAAACATCTGCCTGAGCCTGCAAAGCCTGAAACAGCAGCAGTGAGGGGTTTAATGCTTGAAAACTCAAGTGTTGGCCTTGCCAGTGCCAAAAATTCAGCATGTGTTACAGCTCAAAATAAATGGGAGTCCATGTACAAATAAATAGTATATAACTTACTGTAGAGGTGGCTCCATTTTGGAGGGGTTGTGTTTGGTTTTTAATATTCAGCTGCATCATATTTAATGTTCTATTATTTTTATATTAAGTTAAAACAAAATATTCACAGTTCTTGTGAGAATGTGAAGGCCCAGGCTGAGGTGGGTGCAAGGCTTTTGTGTCAAAGGATGTGGGTGGAGTCCTGGCCCAGCTAATTGATGTAGAATATATCTGTCTTGAAAATTGCTCTTCAAAATGTAGCACCACTGTGCTCTTCATATCTAGGGACTGAAACAGGAGTTGTGCCTCAAAACTCTTGTGTTGTATGGTCCCATGGTAATTCCTCTTCCTTTATCTCCAGTAATTTTTCTGTGCCGAGTCTGGTCTCTCTCTTCTGCTCAGCAGGGAGTGGATTTGTTCTTTTTCTTTGTTCTATTAATTTTCTCATAACTACTATCTACTACATTCACATAACAATCACTGTCAGACTACTGAAACAGTTTTCAAGTATATTAAACCCTCCATTTAAAAACAATAAGGAAAGGGTTTTACTAAATAAATACATAAAACTTTTCTTAGATCATACAATAAGGAAGTGAATATAGAACTAAAGTTCCCAGAACTTGGGAGGACAAAGGAGCAGTTTACTACAGAGCTTTTTCCAAACACCCAGAGCTCTGATAGTCCTTAGAGGAAATAATAAATCTTTCTCCTTGTCACTCTTCCTTTAGTTTCTTTTGTTGTTTAGGAATAAAAAAAATAAAAATGTAAGTACTACTTACAAGGCAGCTTCCTTGATGTTTCTGGAAACATCAAGGGACAAGATTGTCTGTATAGGAAGGGGAGATGAACAATTCACCCTGTAAAGGAATTAAAACAAACGTGGAAATCCTTTGTAAGAAGAGTGGTGGGGATTATAGCTGCATGCTTTCACTAATGACTTTACAAACATTTAGCCAGAGATAACCCAGAAATCCAGTTGCACTTTATTTAATATTCAGATAAGGACCATTCACCTGCTGTTAAGCTACAACATCTACAATCATTCTTTGAATACTGATAATTATATGAAGCAGACTCCCCTAGAGGCTGGTAGTCTAGTCTGGATTCACCTGGAATACAAAGATGAATAATATTGCATATTACGTGCACCCAAGTAGTTGCAATTTATAGAAATGTCCATTTATACTCCTGAAAAAAAGATGTGTATTTCCCTAGGGGCACAGTGTATGGTGATAAAAACCTGTGTGTGGGGACAGTTTGGATTGTAACTCCTAGCATGCCTGTTGATTAATTAATAAACAAATAAATCATTATATTTAGCCAGATATCTCACTCCAAGCCCATAAAAAAGAAAATGTTAAAAATGAATTTTGTGTGGCTCGCCATAAGGAAGGGTTACTCAGAGACACCAGAAATGAGTATGAGAAGTGGCATCCAAATGGCTCAGAGTCAGTGTGTGTGTAGATTTTTAAAAGATGTGTAGCATTATGAATCTGCTCTCTTTGCCTCCTCCTTTCCTCCTCTTTCTCCCATCAGGTGCCTTGTCCTTGTTCTCCCCTCTCGTTTGCTGATGGCTGATAACACCTTATCTCCACCAGGGAAGCAACTGGGAAGTTTGCTCCTTCCTCACAAGACTGAGGGTATAATTAGAACCACGCACCTGCTCAGTCCTCCAGTGACTCAGTTAGTCTACATCCATGTCAAAATCCATGCTGTGAGGGTAATTTGATCATCTCACTTACTTTTTTCATATGCTTTATATGAATAAACCACCAGAACAAGCCTCCATTGAATTGGTTCAGTTTAATCTCACAAATTTGTATCAACTCTTTGTTGCCAGAAGAATTTTATCATTTGATCTCATGGTTACATTTTAGTAGACTTTAGTATACATTTTATTTCACTCTCCAGAACATAAAATTCCATTTTTTGTCAAAATCATCTCTTTATTATTATCTATTTATATTTCTGTGATACTCACAGACTTCAACTGAGATCAGGATCTTGTTGCATGAGACAATACGGAAACAAGCAATAAAAGAATTCTGGTCACAGGAACCTTGTAAGCTGAATAAAGGCTGGGAGAAAGGAAATATTGCCCCCATTTTACAAATGGGAAGGTGAAGCTCTGACAATCTTTCTGTACCAAGGCAGTGTCATACAGCGATAGTGAAGAGAGTTCTGAAAAAGCAGCAAAGTCCAGAAACTATCCAAAATAAAGGTGGAGTTAAACCCTAATATACTGGCAAGCATCCATATAAGTTCAAGTAAGTTATAGATGTACACTGGTTTCATTTGCACATTCAGCATCCCAAGGCTTCCTTGGCCTTCTCCATCCTTCTTATTCTCCCAGACCTTCCTTCAAAGGCAGCTGCCACTATTTTTTGATGCTGCCTTCTTTGGCTGATAAGAGTTAGTATGCCACTGCTTCCTCTAGCATTTAAAAAAAAAATTACCTTAAGCCCTGTGATGCCACAGGGGTGTCAAATCTCTCTGACTGCAGCAGCTTCCAGGCTCAGCAGAGATACATCAAGGCTCTCTTAGACTCTCCTTCCCAACAAGTGAAGGGTAATGCAATCTTTGTGTCCTTGAACTGAGCCTGGAATCTCCTGCATTAGAACACTTTCCCTCTGCTGCTGCCAGAAGATGCTGCAAGATCCCAGGAAAGCTGTAGCCAACTGAGGATATTCACTCACAGCCAAGCAGCAGAGTGGCTCTTTGGTGTTCCCTAAAGACAGCAGAAAGGAGAGGAAATGGTAAATTCACCATCTCCCTTTCAAAGATGACTAAATATAGAGGGGATGCTGCCAGGAAAGGAGGGTGTGGGTGTAGCAGTGTGTACAGAGGTGCTTGTGCTCCCCTCCAATCTGCTGGGCTGCAGCTTGGCACTGCCCTGCTGAGCTCACAGCTCCTGAGCTAAAGTCACCATCCCAGCCTGCCACTGCAGCACTGCCTTCTGAATAAATACCCGTTCAGACTAATTGTCAAGGATCAGATAACAGGAGAATATTTCTATTTGACAGTCTACTATTTTTCAATTGTTCCTCTGTTACATATCTAAGTAAACATTTGTTCCACTTATCATTTCTGAGCAAAAGACATGAATCATTTGACTAGTAAAACCACAACGACAGCTGTTGCTTATTAGAAACAGTCATCTTGTTCAAGGGCCTGCTCTGGAGGAGTTCTTCAGGAAACTGTTTCTGCTTTTAGTGCTTTACAGTGCAATGAAAGCAAAGTTGTAGAAATTAGGGCATTTTTGTTTCACTGGTGTGATTGGCAAAACACCCAGGCACACATGGAACAATCATTACAGCTGAGCTACAAGCCCCCAAGAAACAGGAAAATACCCACTTAAGAATACTACTAATGATATAATACTTATGGTCTTTGTGGCTTTTATACAGAACTCTACATTATAGTGAAACAAAACTAGATTTAAGGGTCCCTTGGTAAGCAGGTTGTATGTTTGGGATTTTGGTGTTGGATACAATATTTATACAAGTTATTATGCATGTACCAGAAATATGTTTTGCCATTCATGGTTTTTCCAGCTCTCAGGAACAAATTAACCTTGGCTACATAAAATCCCTGGAAGACAGTCATCAGTGGTCACCACTACATTACTCTCAGAATAAGCTTCTTGAGTCAGTGATTTAAAATAAGAGGAATTTAAAAAATTCTGGTCAGAATAGAAAAAGTAGGGACAGCAACAAAATACTTTTAAAATTAGTGGAAACAAAATATGGAAAAAAAAACCTGAACCATGACAAAATCAGAAACAATTAAGTGAAACTGAGTCAGGTTAGACATGAGGATTTTTCCCCTCCTGAAATGCTGGTTCAAAGGCATTATAGATCATACAGGCCAAAATCTGATTGTTTCTGTGACCTGTATGGAACAAAATTGTGTTAAACAGAGGCCTAAGAGCTGGGCATTTTATCAGACAAAATCACTGGAATGGTATACCCTGTATGATGCCCCTATTGTCAGCTTTGAAGGAGAAGCCAAAGACTAAATGAGCATAGAGACTGTGCTGATCCCAGCAGAACAGAGGGGAGGAACCTTGGCAGGGCAGTGGAGAGAGGCTACCAAGTAATCTGCTCAGGTAAATAGCAGAGTCTGTGGTTTGTGGCTGTTACTTAGATTCCTTTCTAATGTGCAAAATTAATTCAAACATTAAAGAAGAAATAGTTTTAAAAAATAATTTTAAAGGGTTGTTGGAGTACGGCAAAAGAAAAGGAAGGTAGAGCAGGAAAGCAATGGAGAACTGTGTCACTGAGGAGGCAAAGCTGAGGTTTATTATGGGTTAGAAATCTGCAAAACTGTCACCAATTCAATAACAGCATTCACTGAGGTTTCTAGAGATTATGTCCTGCCCTTCATTCACCCTCACAACACTCACTGATGGGAGTCAGCACTTTGCTGCAGCTGGATATTTAGAAGTCATTTGTTCTGTGTAACATGTCTGTTCTTACTAATCTTAGTCGAGTAAGTAGTCCATCCTCATGTGTCATCCCACGAAGTCAAATGTGCTATTAGCATAAGTGATGATTACTTATCCCTGTGAGGTCCTGCGAGGTTGGGGCTCCCAGCATCAGTGCACTTGACATGGCAGTCTTTCTATTGTAATTTAATAAAACAGGGCCCAATTCAGTTCAGAGGTGCCTCGAGGAATAAGCTAGACTTAAATGGTGCTTAGGCCTTTGACTGGACCCCTGGAAACACTTTGTTCATTGAGTGAATACTAATTAGTCAGAGGAGGGTTATTAAATTATAGACTCAATTCTTTATCATTGCTCAGAGCATGGTACCTTTGCAAGTGCCTGAGCCAAATAATGCAAATCTGAGCACACACAGAGGGAAGTTAAGGCATGATTGCTTTCTTTGGTAAACACAGGGAGAGCAGAAATGTCATTAATAAGCAGGACAGAGAATCTGTACATGTCAGTGGGTAGATTTTGCTCTAGAAGAATGCAATTCACTAAAAAAGGACAGAATAAGACAGTGTGGAAAGCTGCATCTCACAGACAGGTGGATGGAAAAGGCCTAATCCATAATGCAGCCAGTGGAAATCTGAGTTTGGTGAGCTCTGAAGCAGCCCCTTCCTGAGCAGGCACCCTCAGACACCCTTGGCAGGGACAGTCCTGGAGTCAGTCACACACTCAGTGTGACACCCATAAACTGATCACCCCCAGTCAGATGCTCCGTGCAAGAAGGAATCAATCAGCTCCTTTTCGTGCCATGTCCCTCTCCTAGGGAACAGGAGCCTCATTGCTGCATGGATACATGGATACATCAGCAAGACACTTCACTCATGCTAAGCACATGATTTTAATGGGTTACAGGTATTTCTGACAGCTGACATTCTTGCTTTTTGGATTTCTCATTTTTTGCCTTTTACCTAATTTCTGAGCAGCTCCCAGCCTCAGGATGGCTCCTGTGTTTGTTCTGAGCCTTGGTTGCAAGACCCTACATCCTTCATGGCATTTACATATTTAGTGAATACTGCAGCAATTCCTTGTGATTTTTGTGATCATCTCCTTAATTAATCATTCTCCTGATTCCAAAAATGTAGTGGATGTAGGAAAATCTTGGATTATAAATTTCTAACCAACAAGCTCTCAGCTCTGCTCTTTGCTACATGTGATCTGCTGGAGTTACAGAATGCATGAGTGGTTTTCTATGTGACCCCAAGAAGTATGTTGTTTGATTTTTTTTTTTTTAAACACAGATTTTTCAGACAGATTTAATTAGTGGTACAAAAAATATTGTCCAGCTGTTAGATCCAGAGGGATTGGCACAATAGATCACAAATAGGAGACTCATTCTAACATTCAATCTTTGCTTTGCTGGCTGTATCTGTTTAAGCAACCTGCTGTTTGTATGCTGCTGCACTTCAGCTTTCCAGCCAGGTGTTTGTAAAGGATTGCATTTATTCAATTTGTAGATAAATGCTTGCCAAATTATGTATACTAACGGCTTATATGCAGGTCAATCCTGTACTGTGACATATACAAAGTACATTTTGCACAATGTATCGCTTAGAATTCTGGGGCAAAGACTGAAATCTGAGTATTAAATCAGATCTTCACTAGATTAACAATCAGCGACAAACAATGCTAGGAAAACATTTTTTTAGTCATCTGGACAACGTAAGTTTTTCTCCTGTTATATTTGTAATCAAGTTGAGACATTTACAGAATTTTGAGGCTTTCACTGTCTCATGCCCTTGTAGAGTCTAAGAACATACCCACACTTTAGCCAGCTGTAATCCATATGAAGTCAATAGGATTTTCATGGATGAAAATTAAAAACCTTTGGAAAAAGCTTGCTTGATCAGATTTTAAAAGATTTTAAGTTCTGTATATGTCTACCATCATGTTGAAAATAAGCATTTTTCAGTTGCCAGCAATCCAAGGACCTGTTTTTATTTTGATTTTCCCATTAGCCTGGCAGTTTAACCAGTAGAACCCTTTTATTCCTCCCACTGGAGTAACAGAGAGAAATTAATTTGATTCTAGTGGATAGTTGTTGATTTCATTATCATATTATAGAAAATAAAGATTACAATTCCAAATGATTTTGCCCGCGGTCCACGCACTAACCATGTAAATGGCAATATGTGGAAAAGTTGACTACATCATAAAAAATTTACTTCCTGCAAGGATTTTGTTGAATTGGTTTCAAAAGACTCTGCTGTTTGGCATCTTTCCTGTACTGAAATTCTAGAAGGTAACTGCATTATGTGCATGTAAAACATGCAAAAGGAAACATTCACTGAAC